GCTCACAATCGTCATCTGTATTGTTACCAATCCATCAAAATTTAATGCAAATCAAGAGTAAACTGCAGTACAGTATTATTTAAAATCGAAACAATCACAAGTTTTGCGCTATTACTGTTGGTTCAATTTTTTGTTATAATGTAATTTATCTTTTTGACAAGATAATAATAGAATGAGAACTTTGAACACAGGTTAATGTAAGAAAAAAATCTATTTTGTGAAATGTGCATTTGAAGTATTACAATCGTGTTCTGAACACACTGCCAATTGTTGTCAAAGAAAACAGAAATCTGAAAGGATACTGCGCTTTTTTAAAAGATGTGCTGAGAAATATGCTATAAAACCACACTTAAACTTCAATTTCAGAACTTCGATCAAGAAAACTATGCAAACTATACAAACAAAAAAAAATGCAAACTGTCTAAATTTGGTATTCTTTTCTACTTGAACTTTTTTCTTCTGCTATTATTTCTGTAAAAAAAGTGCAGCAAAAGTGAGAACGCAGTTGCTCTTCCTCGTAGTGCAAAAAATTTTTTTAGAGCAGATGCTGTGCTGGAGAACGACGTTACAAAATTATGTGAAAAAATGACAGCCCCTTCTTTCATGTGTCCAAGCAAGAAACGGAAAACATCATCGAAGTTTTCATTTTGTAATTAAGTAGAGGAGAGCAATCATTTCTGATCAAAACAAACCAAACCCGATCGAAAAAGCTTTTGGTTTGATAGAGTTATGGGAGTTTTACTGAAAGCACCATTATATCAAGAATTTAAAAGATTAATGGAAAAATACATGACAACCGACAGAAAAATTATCTGATAACACACTTTTGCTTGAGAAAGGAAATTCCCGAAAAACCTCATGCAGGTTTTTTCGTACTGTACTTCATTCAAGTCATCAAAATGGTGTATATTTTGAAGATCTGAAGTGATTCGAATCTATTTTGAATGAATTACAAGTGTTTCCGGTGTATAAATTTCACCAGTGGATTTAGTTTTGCAGTTTCTGCAACACTGAGTTCATGTGTTCGATTCTCTGTCGTCCAAAAGTGATTTTGTGTTCTTCGATAGTTTAGAATACCATAATGGAATACATTTTCGCTTGTATTTTGACAGAATAAACTGTATATCAATTTCACTAATGTATAATGAAAACGAACAGTGGTGCGAGACTGAGCATAATGGCTGAAATATGTTCTAGTTGTTTCTGAGCGCTACGAATTTCCAAACATCTACCCACAATCTTTATGGGACAAAAGACTTTTAAGCTTCTTTTTCCAATCACGCTTGAAGCCTCCGTCTCTTTTCTTCATCGTGTTCTTCATAAAACGTTGATCGACACTGTATTTTTAAGCAGTCTTTCCTCTCAGAAAACCATCTAAATGCCAATGTAATGCTGTGTAACAGAAAACTGGTCGCTTTGTAACATGTTTGTTTTAACTATAAACACTAATCTGCCGACATCTGCGATAATGGACTTACGGTTCGGGATGGGCGGATTAGTTTCACTTTCTTAACTGCAATATAGCTTAACCCTTTACACCCCATAGCGGTTCCAGAAGAGCCACTCATAAAAACACCAAAGAAATAGAGTATTGGCCTCTACAATATACCAATGGTATGGGCAGATCGATCAGGCGCACTACCTTTTGTGCAGGGTAATTTGATAACTACAGTGACCATTGAGGCAGAGAAGGGGATGGAACGACTTCAAAAGTCCTACTTCTTTTCTTTTTTATGACAGTGTTAATTAGGCAAAGGTGCCATCTATTTCTTTTTATTTGACTAAAATCAAAAAAGAAAAGCTACGTATATAAAAAGCAATTTTTAAATACCACATGTATT